GAGTTTGGTAATGGTAGAAGACTCTGTCATATTCTGCATCATGCGCTGCACGCAAAATTTCCTTGACCTTCGAGGGTGCATCACGCGGTGATTCATGGACCATTTCAGGTGTGATCAGTATGAATTTCTGTGGTTTTACTTTTTCATCTGAAATATCCCCCGTGGATCCATCGTTGTCTCGCAGACCTTTCAGATATGCCAATCTTCGTTCCATCTCTCTGGTACGCATCAGCAAGTACGGCGGTTCGAATTTGACGAAAGGAGAAGTAGACAAGATCTTCGTTTGGTAATCTTGGACAAGGTCGTCATAGTACGTTGGCATTGGAACATTTTCGGGAACTTCGATCGTCTCAGTAGCGGCTAATTTCTGGTTCTCTGGATCTTCGGCCGATTTTTCGGTTGTATGTGAAGATTCTAGCCCTGTCAAAGCCGGATCGCTTTCATTGGCGCCTTCATTGTCGACACTGATCTTCTCCCCAGTATGAGGTGCGACCTTGACCTGCTCCATCGGCGATGCTGGTATCTTCGCAAATTCATCGCGCATCAGGCATGTCTCAAGGCGCAGATTGTACACGACATAAACCATGAACTCGGTAATTTGCTTGACTTGGGCCAACACATTCTCTTCAGCACCACGGAGGACAATCGTGCACCCTAATTCTTTCGGACAGCCGGAAATGTACATGTATGTTTTCCTCCTGCCCGAATGAACGTATGTTTTGACGTCAAAACTGCTGCAGTCACTGCGCAGTTCAGTCGTCAAGAGCTTGTCCATAGAAGTCACAATTCTGGTTTGAGTACATCTTGACACAGCTTCGAGAACGGAAGGTTTCACATTATAAGCGGTTGCAATGCGGGCTCTCTCAAGAAGATCAAGAGCTAGACCGGAGACGTTGTTCTCAACGAGTAGTAGATTTGGCCTCAGTGCCGTGATCCGACTGACAAGGTTTTCCAGGAATTCACGTTCCTGTCGAATGACAGGCTCAAGACTCATGAAATGGTGTTGCTGGCGAGCATACTCCAATGGAAAAGTCAGGATCAAGATATTCGGACAGGGGATACTTCGAGACATGCTTTTCAAGGCTAGATTTTTCGTGAAAACCAGCCCTGAAACATAAGAAGTGTCTCCCGGTCTCCCGCCTGGTATCTTCTTCAATTTAATGTAATGGCGGATATCCATGTCATCTCCACGCTGCACATCCGGGTCCACCTCATCAGCTGTCTTCAGTAAAATTGGAACCAGAGCCTGCTCCCAACTCTCCTCGTTCGGGACAGAGGCCGCAATCAGAAGCTGACGCAGGAGTTTACGAACGTGCTCCAAGCTAGCTTTGTTTAGTTCCACTGGCGAGACTCCGGTTCTCCTTATCGATGAACTTCTAGTCATCTTGAAACCAGCTTCTCTTAATTTGACAGGGAATGGGACAGGCGGGACGGATGTATCCTGTGGGAACATGCTGTCTTTGGAAGCTCGGGGAGACTGGCGTTGGTGAACGCTGCTAGCAACGCTGAGATTTCGACGACGTGAGGAACGAGGCAGATTCACTGCTCTGGAGCTGCTTATACTGGCATCATCCGCATCACGAGTAGGTTGGGCGATGCTCGGGACACCGCGTTCTGCAAAGGCTGATCGGCCCTTTTTCATAGCCGCAAGAAGTCCACCGAAGGTGGCTTTTTCACTGTCACCGCCACTTTTAGACAGGTTGGCATCTGTTACCGCGGACAAAAGACTGGGCTGTTCGTCACCACTTGATGCGTCATCTGAAAGGTATTGAGCAAGGTCGGGATCGATGATATTGTCTTTGTGGAAAGCGGGGAGGCGAGATTCTGTGCTCAGATCATCAACATGGCGACGCTGGAATGGTGCTCGATCGTCATGGTAAGGCTTAAAGCTCCGAATATATTGTTGGCGAGAATGGTGGCGTTTGTGGCTAATCGAATGGGGCCTAGTGCCCAGGGAAGATCTAAGGGATCGAGAAGATGTCGGCCGTGCCAAAGAACGTTCGGGGTTGATTTCAAGCACTGCCGATCGGCGATTATGCCCCTCGCCTGCACGCCGTGTGGCTGGAATAGCCATGGTTGGAGTTCTGAGCACATGATCGATTGATTGTGATATGACGGACGAAGTATCATCATCGTCGACAGATGGACGGGCACTGCCCCAGCTGAGCTCAGATATCCGAGGGTTCATAAAAACGGGGCTCTGCTCGCTATCTGAAAAATCAGAAGAATCATCCTCATGGGCATCTATCATTCGTTCACAAGGTTTGCAAACACGAATAGATCCAGGCTGTCCGAATTGAGTACCGGGGATCAAAAGGGTGCACTTTGAGTCAAATATCTGACCGCAAGTACGACAGTGATGCTTCCTGCGAAATGTTGTAAAAGGTTCACCGCAATGAAAACAATCCTTCGCATTCTCATCCCGCATCCAAAAGTCTCTGCTCATCAATCTACTTCTTAGCTGTGATATAACACCATCGGAGCCAGGTGCTGCGGCCCGGCTATCTAGCGGGGCTGGTACTCGTGGCACGGCCGTATTAATAGGAGGCAAGGAAGAAACCGTGGTCGCCGACTCTGCCGTGGAAGCTCGAGACATCACATACCCAGGGAGTCTATTCTTGGTATTGACTGTGGTTGGTTTGACTCTGTCGCTAGGTATAGTTAAGCCAGGAGCCCCCAACGGCAATTGATTCGCTGTTTCTTCGCGATTCATATGGCCAATATTCTCAGCAGAAGGGTCTGTACGAAATGATCTGCCATCTTGAGGAACGAATTTAGAGTGGGCGTTGTCGGGCGTAGGCCCGATGGTTGCTGGCTCGTCCTGGTTGAAAGACATTCGAGAATTTGATCTAGATTCTTGAGCTTGAGAAGCCGTTTCTTTGAGAGGATCAGAATGCTTTGAATTTCGTGATAACGCAGACTGAGACATGCTCTCTGGAAGCCTCGGCAGATCAGCAGATGCGGATGACTTCCTGGCATGAATTCCCGAGGCTTGGCTTGCTGACATGGCCGGTCCGCCTGCATCTACCGAATCGTGGTCTTCATGGATGCTCTCGTGTGTCTTAGTCGATAAGACGGGCGAGTGTGGGCGAATTTGGCTTAGCACGGAAGACGATTGGCTCAAGGATAGATCGACGGGACCGTCTCTGCTTCCAATGCTCGCTGACTCGGCATTCTTAAGTCCATGCGATGGAACGTTAACAGAGCTACTTCGGGAGCGGTGGTCCGCATTTGCATGGAGTTGCGTGAGGGTGGGATCAACCGCACTTGAGCCGGTGTTGGACTTTGTCAAAGGCGCGATACTGCCTTTGGTACCTGGAGACGGCGGAATAGACGCCTTTGAAGATATACTGGCACTCTTGGAAGATATCTTGGAGCTCTTGCCGTTATTGGTGGGTGGGGCAGACTCTTGGGGATGCTGGAAATTAGTCATAACCGGCGAATGAAGTCTGGAGCCTTGAGACGAGGCGGGATGCGACGATGCGGGATCTCCATGGGGAGCTGCGAGATCCGAAACCGACTTCGTCATCAAGCGTTCTGGGACCGGGCTTTTCACTGGGGGGCTCTCCACCGCATTCTTGTCCGTCGGCCTTGTTCCGCCACTAACAATATCTCTCATGCCACCAACGGAGGTTCTGAACCGAGTATAAAGCCCACTCAAGCCTCCCTGTAGCTCCTCCGATAGTCCTTTATCATCTTGTGCCGATACAGGGGTCGGAGGGCTGGTGAAGTCGTTGAAAAGCGTCAGTGAGTCGGACTGATAGGCAGCGTTATGGATCTGGTCTAGAGCTGCATCTTTATTTTCTCGTTCGGTCCGTGTAGTCGCTAGTGAGGCTTTAGACCCGCGTCGACCGAGTCGGAGAAACCCAGACGACGCGGAGGGGCTCGGCGATCGAGGCGACTTATGCTCCATGCGTGCGCTATTGCGGTCAGCCCAAAAGTTCGTAGATCATGATTCTGAAAAGTCGAAGGAAGGCGGGGTGGGAGTATAGGCGGTAGTTTGGAGGAATAAGAATATGGAAGTCTAGGGTGGCCTTGCACTCGGGGTATGTCACCCAGTCCTGGGGGATTGCAGGGTCTCCAGAGGCGAGTTAAATAGCGAAGTGGAGTTGGAAGTTGAAGCTTCCCTCGGGTCATTCTCCGCACTGGCGGCACCGAGCCCAATGACGTTTGGCGGTGAGACCTTGTACTACTATGTAGTCCTAGTTCCAGGGTACCTTAGAGTCGAGGCCACCTTAGGGCGCGTCGCGTCTTATCGCTTATCGGGGGATTTTGCAATCAGTCAATTTCCCCGGTTTGTGATCACGTCTCTTTTACCAATGTCCTGATCCTGATCCTGATCCTTTCTGGTCAGATGTGACCTGAGCTGCGCTCCATCTGTTTGAATACAGATCTGGGAGCGCATAATGGCTTCCAACAACCTCATACCCTCTTGGATCGCAAGCCTCGTCGAGCGCTGTCTGGGTTTCTACATTGACCAGACCTCGGGCAGTGGGATTGAGGTGGAGGACAATGGAGCTTGTCTGAGTTTTCGCATCAATCAGTCTTCATGCCTGGCTCTCATTTCAGAGGTAAACCACTTCCTGTACCTTTTCTGCCTTTAGCATGCTGACGGGTTGGCTACTAGTGGGGCATAGGACCTACTGGCGACGGCGCCGTGTTGATAGATGCGAATAACCAAATTTCTGGGACTATATCGAATGAATCCTTGATCATATCCAACGCTGTCTCTTCGGCCTCCAAATCCCCCCCAGAAACGCTGCATCGAACTTCTCGACTTCACGCTAGTCGTCACATACTCCGACCCCTCTCCCGACATCCGCTTATGCGTCAACCGCTGTCGTATTGACTGGCAGGGAAAGAGCACAGTTTTACGCCCAAGAAGAAACTGAAAAAGAATAATACGATCAAGAAATTGTTGGATAAAGTTCTTCAAAGGGTTCGAGACTCCCAAAAAAACACGTCAACTTGCTGCAGTTGATACTCCATCAGCCAAGCCCATGCAGTCTGAAGTTGAAGCAAGTATTCACGAAAGCAGCCCGGTGGACAACAATGGATCCCAGATTTTCTCTCAGGTACCAGCCAGCCAGCATGACCTATTGGAAGGCAACTCCAAGGCCAAATCCTTCTTGCAAACTGGATCCTCGCTACTCCGTCGCCTGAACCCCTTTTCAGCTACTTCAGTCAATGGGATATCATCGTCAAATCAACCCCCGGATAGTCCGAAAGGATTAACGGCGCCTGGGAAGACAATACAGGAAATCTTCGATCATACGACCTCGAAGAGCGCGCGTCGAGCTTCAATTGAGTCGCAGACCGGAAATGACACTATTGGCGATATCCCTCGTATCAACCCTCCAGACCTGAACTCTGAAGAGTTGGAGACTTTTCCCAGAAGAAAACAACAGAAAGATGTTCCTTCAAAGAAAGTTGGTCAACCCGCAGAGCTTGTATCCGAAAGTAATGCCGCCGATGAAATTGAGAATCACACAGCCAGTAGATCTTCTCCACGGAAGCGTCGGCGTCGAAGCCCGAGCAATGCACCAGTATCCGATCTCAGCGAAAATGTGGTCGAACAGTCGACTGATGGCCACCCATCTCCGAAAAGGCAGAAGACACATACTTCCCAGGACGACCCCACTGAACCATCTCATGCTGAGCCTTCAACGGCCAATACGACAGAGGTTACTAATCAGAAAGATGAGAGTCGTAATGCTCCTATTGATCCTTCCCCTGCTACCAAATCAAGCCGAGTTAATCCATGGAAATGGCGGGGCGATATTCCGCCACATGAGATCCATATTGAAAAAGAGCAAAAGGAACTCCTTGAGAGCCACAAAATACGCTGGATTCCATCTGCAGTTGGCGACCTTCCTGTCCAAGGACATGTACCACCCTCGCTTCTGAGGCAGTGGAATAGAATTGTTGAGCGAAGAAACCAATCAGTTGAAAAGGACAACGCAAGCCCAGTGCGGTCCGTGACTCCTCGTCGAGACTCTTCCTCGTCGTCCGAATCGGAGGAAGACAAGATTCCCTGGTCTGCGAGTCCATCCCCGAACGGGCGGGGACTTCGACGTCTGCCTGCGGACAGCAGTCCTTTGAAAGGAAGGACTCCGGAAAGGCGACAGCGGCCTTCGGGGGAAGTAGAAAACGAAGCAAATCAAGTTGAATACAACCAGCGCTCCACTATAGCGAATCATACGAGCCAGCCAGAGGTCGTCGGAAACGACGCGACGCAACCCTCTCGTGAAATATCAGCATCCGGCACTTCTACTAAAGTCGGGAATGATGATAGTGGCAGAGTACCCGGCATTGCTTCGACCCAGGATGCTCGAAGTGAATTGGGTGGTGAGAACGAAAAGGGCCCGCAGATGGTATCTGACAGGGTGCCTGCAGCGTCAAACCCGGCCCAACATCCTACTGCAGAAGAGGGAATATCGCCTCCGGCTGCTGTAAATGGCCCAGAAGCTTCTGCCGAACACCTTGATGCCCATGATTCAGGCGACGAGAGTGATGATTCAATTATGGATACTTCGCTCCCTATAGCATTAGGCGGAAGCTTTCCAGAGCCTTCACAAGATGCACAGCATGAGCAGGAACCTACAAGCTCGGGTCACTCACTTCCATCAGCAAACGCCGGGTGCGTGCAGGTTTCCGAAACCCCCGCGGTAAACAATAGCCGGTTGCCTCCCGTCCAGGCAACAAAAGAACCTGGCAACCCCAACGTCGCAGATGAAACATCGTCTTCCAATCAGCAGAACAAGAGTTCCTCGCAATCTCGGGTTCTTAATACCTATTCTGCTCGTGGAATCCACGAACAACCCCAGTCTTCGAACGGGGAACCACATTCCTCTCTTTCTTCAAAGGGGTATGTACAAGTCAAAAGAACCCAATTACAACCAAACAATCAAAATCAGTCGGCTCATGAGGGTACTCAACCCCAATCACAATCGGAAGTTGTGCTTGATTCATCAGGACCGGCTCAGCGTCATCAGGATTTTCCGCAGTCCGGGTCAAAATCTACCACAGAGTCATCATCCCATCAAACTACAGCTTCTCGTCACCCAGAAACATCGCAGCCCATGCAGCCCACTCAAGATTCTATGGCAGGCCTTTCTTCTCTCGGTCCCTCCGTGGGCTCACAGATCTCTCCTCTCGCGCGATTCATGCCAGCAGCAAACGACGACTCCTCTCCATCCAAAGCGCCCGGAGAACCATCGGCTGGGCCCACGGATTCCAGCCAAGCTTCACTCTTGACCCAAAGTGCTGAGCTGATTACTCGCCGTCTGGGCTATATCAACAACCCGGTGCAATTTGTCGAAGCGCACGGGTTCTACGAAAGATTCCGGACCCAATACCTTCCACACTATCCAGGAGACTTCGCTCATTTTGTAGAACTTTGCTCAAAACTACAAGCCACCAGGTCCCGGGGCCAGTTGCAACGGTCATTTCTCTGGGATGATTTTATTATCATGCACCTCGCCCAGTTTCCACTTCACGTCGAACAGTACTCGTCCCAGGAGACTAACCCATTGAACTACGAGGAATACTTCTTATTGCACCACTCCCAACCTATCCACAAGAAGCGTTGTTTGACACTTCCTGCCATCGATATCGCTGCATCCCAAGCCCCCCCAGCCGAGATGGCCTCCCAGGTTATCAGCGACCACCAGTCTCCCCCAGATCCGCCGGCCATCCAAAACGAGAATCTGGGGCAATCTTTCACTGCGAGCCTAGTCAACCAGTTCTCAAAGTTCAATGCGCATTCTTTCAGCGACATTTCGCCAAGTGGACTTCCGTCGGTGGATATCGGTACTAGATTTATGGAACAACCCTCGCGTGAGCCATCTGTTGACATCAAGATGGAGCATTCTGAAGAACCATCTGAATGGGTTGATACGCAGGCATTTCCGTTGAGCAGCTACGAGAACACAGGGGCCCACACTATCGTGAAGCACGATCCAGATACTGAAAATCATTTATCACTGGGTTCGTGTATCGCCAACACGCAAGAGACAAACGATATTGTCATGGAAGATACTAGGGAAATACCATCCGTTGAAGAAATTGAGGAGGAGCAAGCAGAAGAAATGGAATACGATGAGAAGGAGGAAGAGAAATCCGACAATGAAGAGGCTGACGATGAGGGGGAAGCCGAGGTTGACGACCCCCATCACGAAACAGGCAGTGTCGAATTAGGCGATGAAACATTCACTTCGAAGCCCGAGGCGTCTACAAACGGACATGCCGAGGCCGATATAGCCTCCGAAGCGGAGAGCGACGAGGAAAATTGGTTCTTAGCACTCCGGCGTTCAAGAATTCCCGTACCAAACTGGTCCGACGACCCGGACACGCCATTCAAGCGTTGGGCCGAAGCAGATCAGAATATCCTAAGCGAACGACGACGGCGCGGAGGAACTAAAATCCTCCTTGATGCGAAAGGGGTAATTCGACGGCCTATACACCGTTGACACAATCTCATGTGATCAATATGGGGGCGGAAACCGAAGCTTCGCTCTGGTTTCTTCATCGGGGATGGACTGATGCGAGCTAATTTAGCGGTGCGGCGCTGGCGTCGATTGTGGGGGTTGTTTAGCACCGCGTGATACAAATTTATATTCATTCTTGATTATTTACTCACTGTTCAGGCGGAATGCTGGGTATTCTTACTTCTGCTTCTGCTGTCTCTGTCATATTACCATAACATACTCCAATTCCGGAATCTTGTATATTATCGAATATCATATTCACAGTGCCTAAAGTTCATGCGACGGGCGATGACTCGAAAGAATCAACATGCAAAGTTCCCAACGAGCTCCAGGAGCACTGGCCAACTGGTTTTCGTATCTAGACCTCAGCCTCACTGGCAATCTCCACTAGACACAAAGGAACAAGGCTGAATACCCCGGCCCCCTTATCACAAAACTCACTATTTTAAACATCTACCAAGAATGAAAAGAGAGAAGAACTACGATCGTCAGAAAGAGGGAAAGCACTGGCATGAATCAAAGTTGATACGAGCCATGGACATCCACTGGCATCTCACTGTATCCCATACATAACGAAACAAAGCACCAAGCCAAAAACAACCCGAATCCGCGCAAGCATCTCACTCAGCCCAACGCCATTGACATCGATACGACAGCCTTGTCTTTCCGATCGTCAGATCCACAACGATTAGGGTCAGCGCCTCAGCTCCCTGTCAGATTCCGGAACAGCACAATGTAGCGAGTGGCCCCCAACGCACGGGGCGACGAGCTAAATTGCACTGTACCGATTCGGAATAACGCTGCGATGTCATCAGCCCAAACAGGGAGATCCTTGGGTAATTTCCTTTCAAGCTGTTCACAGTCATCCAGCGATCGGAAATGAATGGCTGGGATGTGGACAGGCTGGGCAACGCAACGGGCGGGAGAATGTTTACATCATTATAGTTTGGAGCGGGGATTTGAGTTTGTGTGGCTGGGGATTGATCAAGTTTATTCCTTGGCACGTTTCGGGCTTGTTTATTGTTTACATGTGCTTCGTATTTTTTGGGAGCTGTATTTGGTTCATTTTCATTGTCATCTGGACATGATATGATGATATACTAGTAACTATGTAAAATGTATAGACAAAAATGCGATGCTATTTCGTTCGCGAATCGCGAGACATAATCCAAGTCATCAAAAAAGGAAGGTCATAAGGCATGCCACAAAAAATAAGAATAAAGGTAAAAAGCGCAAATAACCAAGCCCAAACGCCTTTGGTATCCCAAGTCTAAGAACGCTTCAGAAGGATTGTACAGAATCAATGCAAAACAAGACGCGTATCCTTTTCATACTGATTGCTTAGACGTGGCGGAAGGGCTCGTAGGCGCTAGTCTGCTGGTTGTTGGTGTGGGTCATTGGGTATTCACCACCGTGCGCAGCGGGAGCCGGGTAAGAGGTGTGGTGGGCACCGTAGGGCTGGGCACCAGCGCCGACGGGCTCGTAGGTGTAAGGGGCCTTCTCAGCGGTGATGCCACGGTTGCGGCGGTCCTTGTGGTTGTAGGGGGAGCGGCCGGAGCAGCAGCAGACGCTGAAAGTCCAGAAGATGGCACCAACGAGGGCAAAGGCGACAGCCAACCAGGTCGCGGCGAGCATGTTCTTGCCGACGCTCAAGCTGATTCCGTAGGCTTTGAGAAGAGTGCCGGCGCTGCCGTCAACGACGGAGAAAAGAACGGTCGCGGTAATAGAGGCGGCGGCGGTGAAGAGGAAGAAAACAATGGCGACCAGAGTAGTGACGCAGCTGCCCCAGCGGCTGCAGATGGCGAAGATGCCGACAAGCAGCTCAGCGATACCCAAGATGAAGGCGATCAGGTAGGCGATGAACATCCACTTGGAGACGGCCTTGTAGATCTTCATAATCTTGTTGTAGTCGGAGGGGAGCTCATTCTTGATGGTGTCGTTGTCGCTCAGGCCCCAGACGTCGAGAGGATCGAAGTAGTACTCGGACTTGGGCTTGGAGCACTTGGTGGTCTTGTAGTCGCCGTCCTTGATGCTGCCCTCGCAGTAGCCCCAGAGACCGATGGAGTAGAAGTCGGCGAGAGTGGAGTCATCCTGGATGGTTTTCAAGGTACTGGAGACCTCGTCGGCAGTGACGGTGGAGATGTGGTGCTCACTCAGGAAGTCCTGGATTTCGGAGACGGTCTTGGTACCATTGCTGCTGATATTTTGCAGATTGATCTAAAGAGAGGGATTTGTTAGTGGCGCATTCCCCGTGGGGGTATTGAGAAAGAAGGAACTCACCCGCAGGAAGTAGAGATCGGACAAGTTGCTGTCGCTCGATTTGGTGCAACCCAGACCCACGATGATGATACAGATCAAGGAGGCGAGAGTGAGGACATAAGGCGTGAAGATACACGCGATGCGACCGGCTTTACCCATGATGGTGGTGGTGGTGGTGGATTGAGGGTGATAGTGAGGGTGGGAGGGACGATGAGAAAGGGGGGGAAGTGATGAAGTGATGAAGTGAAGGAGAGATGATCTCACGGGGGGCCGAAATGGTTTTTAACCTTGGGGATCGGCAGATTGAGATTACCAGTACGCAGTGCAGAGTACGGTTACGAAGTGCCTATCCCGAGTGTACATACACAGCCCAGGAAGTGCGAATTGCCCCAGCCCCAGCGGCGCAGCACCCGCGCTGGACCCACCGCCACGCCAATTTGTGCGGAACGCGCTTGTTTCTATTCGTGGCTACGCACGTATATACATTCAGGTATACCATAGACAGTACAGAGTCTAATGTATATCGATTTACTGGAACAGGTACAATTATGCTATACAGTATACTATATACTATGAGTATACTGTGGTATCTATCTCTACTATCTCTATCCTACTATCATCTCGACTCTACCATCCCTGTACCACTGGTACGCCACCAATACTGTCCAGCCTCGTCATCGCAGCCTTGTGGATCGCCGAGTTTTTCACCGTCTTGTACCCCCACTAAACCCCTTTCATGACTAGTGCCAGCTAGTGCCAGCTCCGAAAAGTACTCCTGTACCTGTACCAAGGGATGTCTGCCCTACGTAAGCACTTCCCAGGCTTCTTCATTTCCCGCTTGGCACTAAGGGCCGCACCCACATTACCCTGTGCACTGCACTGCACTGCCGGACCTTGCGTCCATGTTTCTAATTTTGTATCATCATGAGATAAACTTTTCCGGGGAGAGTGAACTATGTACGTATTATGGATACTCCGTATGGTCTGGGCATCTATGTACTCCGTAGTTCGAGTATCTCCTCCATAGAGATAGTAGCCAAATACAAGGATCGGATCGCAGCCGAGATAAAAATCAATCTGCCTAGTCATTCAACTCACCAGTCTCAGCCACGTATATACCTGCATGCTAGCCAAGACGGCAATCACTTCCATCCTGCAACACGCTGACATACTCCGAGTCGGTGTACGAGTTCCCTACTAGTTACTAGTAGGATACTCACATCACAAGTATGGCTCCAACGTCGCCAGCATCCCAGTATAGGCCGTCCCACTCTCCGGCTCCATACTAAAGATATAATCTCCCCACCAAGGACCGGCCGCCCACCACATCGCCCCCAGCCACACTTCAGAGTCTGCCGCCAATGCCTTCAACATCCCCGTCACCGCCGTCTTGCATTGATCATTCACTCCCCCAGCAAACTCCCCCAAAATGCCTTTCTTGCCGTTCGCCTTCAACCATGCCGTTGCGGAGCTCACCCGCTCAGCCCCGATCGTGCTGGACACGCACGTCGCACTTGTACCAGACCCATCGCTATCCAGGTACTGGTGCATCTGATAGACAATCTTGTTCTGCGGGTCCGTGAGGGCCTTCATGTTGTCGTTGATCGACGCCCAGGTCCAAGCGCCGGTCCACGAGTTTCCCTCAACGAAGATGTATTGCGACGTTGCCCCAGCGGCCCGGATGCCGTTGATGGCGGCTTGGTTGAGGTTCAGGACTAGCGTCTGGTCCATGTCATGGTACTCGTTGTCTTCTTCTCTCAGTACTGCTTGTTTGTTTCAAGGGGTCCTGTGGTATGGACTTACTCGTGTCAAAGATGACATGGTTGTTCGATGCGAATTTACTCGCGACGTTCTGCCAGAATGTCTGGAAGTCTGAGGTGCTGGTCATGATAGCACCATTGCTGTGACTGATCAATATATAGTCTTCTATGATCTACCAGGCCTTGGGGGCTACTGGGGCCGACGACTTACTATCTACCATAATTATGAGGGTCAAGCACCGCATAAGCTCCTGCGTTCGTGATATAGTTCACGACCTAACCCCGTCAGCATTCAGACTGCCAGTCAATCCTCGGAAGGATCACTTTGTACTCACCGTCGTTAGATTCTTCAGATAAGCAGCATCCAGTGACCCCGTCATGGAACTCTGCGCCAGCCGCTCCATCTTAAACTGAACTCGGAAAATATTCATTCCTTTATCGATCAATGTTTGGATCTTACTGGTGTCAGGGAAGATATATTGGGTTCCCTATACACGACAATCAGCTGAATGAAAAGTCACAGTCTCACAGGCTGTACGCACCCACACACCCGGGAGAACGGTTTCTCCAAACTCGGCGCCCGACTCGTTCGTCCCGAACCCTATCCAGTCTCAATCAGCTTGTCTTGTATCTGCCTAGATGCGGACCGGTAAGGGACACCATACATTGGAAAGGAGATGCTCTCTTCGCATGGCTTTTGAGCGGAGCTGCCACCGCAGACCCAGCCGCGGCAGCCAGAAGGATCAAAGAGCTGAACCTCATTTCAGTTGCTTGTTGATCAGTTGATAGGAAAGCCTACTTTGACATCCAAAGTCATTTAAAGCCAAATTCCCGTGCGTACTACTTGATCTTTATACGAGGTGAACATTCTACGCTCGCCCAGCAAACGCCAATGCGCCCAGGAACTACCCAACTCCTTTTGGCTACTCGTAGACGGAGTCGCAAAAGACACGGAGCATAAAG